GCCGCGGCCGCGGCGGCGCGCGCGGTGGCGGCGCGGGCGGGCGCCCTGAAAGGCCAGATCACAGGCGGCTGGTGACGCCTCGCCGGTTACCCCTGTTGGTTAATAGATTGACCAGTGCTGCGCAGCGGTCTCCTTTCCTCCCGCATCCGTGTGTGGTGTCGCAGGGCGAGCATTTTTTGCCGCACGCCGTCGCCCCCCCAGCCGCCCACGCGAGCGCGTGATCCGGCGGCGGCCAAATTGTTGTGGTGTTGGGGAATGTCTGATGTACAAAGGAGGACTGCTGGCCTGGAACAAATGCAGAGCCTTTTGATGGTTCCTATCAATGAGTGGTTTACAATTCTTTCAGCATGGCCGCCGAGCACGTACAGATTCAAAAGTTATTGCACGCTGTGTGAGAATGCGAGGTTTTTAATCGTATCAGGTTTGACCAGATTTGACCAGGTTTGACCGAATTTGACCAGGTTTGCCCGCCCGAAGTTGGGCCGTCCCGTTGCGCGGCCGCCATGTCGCCGCCATAGGCCGGGCAGGCGTCGCCGCGCCCTCCTCCTCCGCACGGCGCTGATGCGCCCGCCGAGCGGCCGCCGGCGTCGCCGCCGCCATCACTGCCGCCGCCTTGCCGTCGACTGCGGGCGGCCGTGCCCTTTGTAATTCGAAATTCGAAACCAAACGGCCCGCGGCGCGCGATGGTTATTCGGCGCCCCGCGTGCGGCGCCCCTCGCGTGCGCACACGCCAAGCGGACGGCCCTTGACGCCGCCGGCTCGGCGCCGCACAAGCGCGAGGCGCCGCGAATTCAAGTTGGCAACCAACTTCTGTAGTCAATGCAGAGCAGGGCGGCCGTGGCGGCGCTCCAGGCGCTCGCCTCCCGCGCGGCCCCGTGCAACGGGCCGGCGGCCACGGGGGGCGGGGGGCGCGGCCGGCCGCGGGCGCACGAAAAGGGGTGCATTGATCTGCGGCCGGCCCGCCGGCCGAACAGAGATGCGAGAGCGCGGCGCCGCGTCCCCTGTGCCGACGCATTCGGCGTCCAGGCATGAGGCGCGCGCGCACGCGCGTTGCGGGGCGCGCCCATTGTCATTGGTGCGCTCTTCTCTCGCGCAGCGCGCCCCTTGCGCTCAAATTGTGTGCATCAAAAGCTGTCCAAGAACGCGTTTATGGCGTCCAACCACAAACGCTCATGTGTGCGTGCGACGTCCAGACTAATCAAGGCAATGCTGTACACGCTGTGTGCATTAATCAGCAATCACAAATCACAAATCAGTGGGGCTGTCGTGGCGCACCCCGCCCTGCCCAGCCGCGGCGCGCCGGCCGGCTGCGGGCCGCCCGCTGGCCGCGCCGCGGCCGGGCAAACAACAAATCTCGATTCAAATCCTGGCCTGATGGTGATGAGAAGACACTGGGCCACAAGCCTCCATGCAGTGGGGGCGCCGTGTGCGGCGAACAATTTTGGGTTCGGCGCCGCGGCGGGGCATGGTTTTCTGAAGAGGGGCAGCAGGGGAAGGAGGCAGGGGCGCCGGTCGCAGCGTGTGAAGAGGCGTGCGAGCCCGCGCTACATTGCAAGAAGTTTTCAGAGCACCCCCTCGGTTTGGGACTGGGCTTTGTAAATGCTGACGGCCGCCCGCAACTGGGGGGCTGGCATTGGGCGTGCTCCGGGCCCCGCCGCGGCATGGGGCTGCCGCCCACAGCTTGGCGGGGGGAATTGCACCGAGGGGGGCCGGATAAATGACGGGCGTGGTTTTGGTTGGATGGCTTTGAACAAAGAAATAATGAAAGAGCCCTGGCGTTGGACAAACCGGAAGCATTTCGCGCTGTTTCATTGCGGGCGCGGGCGAGACCGCGCCGAGCGCAGGGGGCGGCGCAAGGGGGGGGGGGGGAGAGTGGCGCGCTGACGCGCCATCCCGTGCAGGGCGGCGGGCCGGCGCAAGCGCGCTCGGCCGGGGCCGCAGGGTGCAATAATAACTCTTCGTAAATTCATTGTAATGTGCAGCGGCACGGCCGTAGCGCGCGTGGCTTTGCTCAAGGTTGCCCAGGGTTGCTCAATGTTGCTCAAGTTATTTGGGGGGGTCGGTGATTGCTGGAGGGTTTTTGGCTGAAGGGTGTATGTTTCACATCGCGAATTCTATTTTCGTTCCAAATAAAGATGAGAGGCAGCTGGATGCCTCTTGAAGACCTCTCGCCTTGCTGTGTCCGGGCAGACGGCCGCTCGACCGGCGGAATGACGCCGGCCGCCGCGGGGCCGGCGGCAGCAGATAGACTGGGCCGCGGCTCACGCCGCGGGCCTGCGCTTGATGAGTTCCTTGCGCAGCGCCGCGCCGCCCACCAGCTGTGAGCGCAGCAAGCTATTCTCCTCTCGCAGCATCTGGACCTCCCTGCTCAAGTCCTCAACCTTTTGGGAGGGGGGTGTTGAAGATCGGTTGGTTTGGTGTGTCAATGATCCCTTGCTTGTTGACAGGTACAGCACGCGTGCCCCCATGTGCGCGGGCGCCCGTGCAGGCGCACGTGTGTGTGTGTGTGTGTGTGTGTGTGTGTGTGTGTGTGTGTGTGTCTGCACTTGTATGTGAACTGCAAGCGTGCACGCATAAGGACAGCATATCAACAGAGGGCCATTTGCATTATACCAGCTCACGCGCTGCCCTCCCGAGTAAAGCTCAACCACCGCACCCCCCAGGCTCCTTCCCGTCTGCAGCCCGCGGCAAGCCCAACCCATCCCAAGCCGCCTGGCCGCCCGCCGCCGCCACAAGCGCAGCCGCAGCCACGACACACGCGCGTACGCATGCATGAGGTCAACCCCGCCGCACCTGCCGCGTCATGCCGTCGATCTTCTCCTTTTGGACAGTGATGGTCGACTTTTGCTTCTCCCTAAAGCGCCGCTGCGCCAGCCGGTTCTTCTCTCGTGCCGCCTGCAGCCGCCGCGGCGCGGCCGCCCCGCCGCGGCTCAGGGCGCCGCCCGCGGCGTCGTCCGACGCGGCGGCGACCGCGGCGGCGGTGTCGCTGGTGCCGCCGCTGTTGGCGCCGCTGCCGCGGGAGCCAGAAGAGCGTCTGTTGGTTGTTTTGGAAGGACGGGTGAATGGCAGGTCGCAAGGGCGTGCCGAGGGTCGTCGGAGGGGGCGCGAGGGGAGGGGGCGGCGCGCGAAGCGCGTCGGGGACGCATTGATGATGGCGCGTTGTCAGCGGGGGTGGGGTCGCGGCTCACCCTGAGGCGTGGGGCGTGCGGGCACGTTCGTGGGTCTCAGCCGGATCTGCGGACCTCCTTTTGGTGCCGCCTGCCCCTCCGCACTCCGCCGCCGCCTGCGCCGCCGCAGGGCCGCCGAAGGCGCGCGTGAGTGGCGCCGCGTGCGGCGCCGCAAGCTCGGGCACAGGCGCGGGCGCGGGCGTCGAGAAGAGGCTGGTGGGCTGTGGGGCGGCGGCGGGCTGGCCGAACGCGCCGCTGCTTGTGCCGTTGAGGGTGGCCAGGATGGCCTGCTGCAGGGCGTCGATCCTGTACGCCTCGGCCTGCATCAGGGGTGCAGCGGGGCGCCCGTTTGAAGTGGTGGGTGGATTGGAGAGGGGGGGAAGTAGAATGGAGGGCGGGCGGCAGGGGGCGGCGTGGCTGGGTGTGCGGTGAGCTCAGGTGCCGTCGCGCCCGCGAATAATCGGCCCGCCAGGACCAGACCTGGCCTGCATGCAGCAGGACTTGCACTGCACAGCCAAAAGGGCCGTCAGATGGTATAAACCAGCGCAGCCGTGCGCCGCAGATGGGCAGGAGCTTCGGCCTTTTTTCAGCATTGGCACCCATGGTGGCTGGCCAAATGACAGCGCACCTGGAGTGCTGCCTGCGGCACGCCTGGGGTGCAGCTGCGCGGCATGTCGCCGATGAGGCTGGCCAACATTGCGTTCTCCATGGCGGACGTCCCGCCGGCAAACCCCAGTGACAGGCTTGAGTACGGGGCGTGGCCGAACGGCCCCCCGCCGAACCCCTGCATCCCAAGGCCCAAGTGCAGGTTGTTGCCCTGCAGCATGTTGCAGTCTGAGGATCTGTCGCAACCAAGCTGTCAGGACGGGGTCGCACTAGGAACCGGAGCAGGAACTGATGGTGCCCTGCACACAAACGCGGTTGCTGTCTGTTCTAAAGTGGTTTCATTTACCGGACAGGATGCTGGAATCGCCACCGTGAATGCAAGTTGAGGTTGGTCGGTGGTAACTCGGTCCACCGTGGATCACGAACGTCGGCAGGCACGTAGCAGCGTCCCCTTGTGTGACGAACACAAGTTGATACGCACACATTGATTACAGGTGCTGCTGGCGCGCGATGAGAATGTGGTGCAGACACCCGGCCAGCGAAGCTGCTGCCAGATCCCAGATGGCCCCACTTGGCACGAACTGTACTGCACTGCTTGGACATGGTGATGTCAGAGTTGCACTGCAAGGCGCTGTATGGGTGATTGTACTGATGTGTAGTATGGTGCAGAAGCCGCAGCCGCACCTGCACCTCGGGGACACACGTTCGCTGGCGAAAGGCTCATTGCCGTGCGCTGCCACGGGCCGCCAGCTGCGGCTGGCCTGCAGGGCTGGGCTGTGGCGG